TCAAAGTGGAATATGCAAATGGACAATTAGCATAAGGAAAGATGCTCCACCTTATTTGTAATCAGAGAAATACACCCTGAAATGGCATTGAGATGCCACTGATAATACGCTCGTTTGTCAGGCATTGGAAATTGCGGCAATGCTGAGTATTGGCAAGGGTGTGGAGCCCCCATTGGTGTACCTGTCTTGGGAAGTTTGGCAGAACCTGGTGGGTAGAGCAACCGGAAGCCCGGCGGGGTGGGGGGTCCCAGAGCACATTTACCCAGCTGACTCTGAAGGTGGTCCCCACAGGTGTTCACGGTGGCTGACTGCTCTGTGCTCCTCAGTAGGAGGAAGTGCCACATGCAATAGAAAAGACAGAGCAGGTCTTTCTGTGGAGCAGTGTCTGCCTGCTGTCAGAACACAGGCAGAGAAGGTGCCGCAGGGTGACCCCGTTACCGAGCTTAGTAACAGGCAGCACAGCGCACTCGGTGAGTTTATGGTAAAACCGTAAAGACAAGCAGTCATTAAAAAATTAAGAGCAGTCTTCAAATCCAGAGAAGAGGGATGGAGACACGGTCAGGAAGGGTTGCAGAAGTGGTAGTGGCATCCTGTGTGTGTGTGTTTGAGAGAGAAAGAGTATGTGTGTGTCAGTCACCCACCCGCTGGTTCACTCCCTGATGCCCACAACAGTCAAGGCTGGGCCAGGCTGAAGCCAGGAGCCTGGAACTCCATCTGGGTCTCCCACACAGGTTGCTGGGACCTGACTACTTGACCTGACCTCCCAGGGTACGGCAGTAGGGAGCTGGATGCAGGCACCCCAGTGTAGCCAAACACCCACCCGGTGTTCCTTTCTATTTGTTTTATTTTCTTTAGGATATTTTTACATATTCTCTTGTTCATGTGGTATGTTTCATTGTTTTTAAAAGTTAATGATCTGGTAATCCAGGCAAACAAGCCGGAAACTGCCATCCCCTCACGGTGCAGTGGTGTCTCCCGGTGTCTGCTGTGCTTCAGCCCCAGGGTGGCTTCCTAGAGGAGCTCCTCATGCCTGTGGGCCTCCCCTCGGAAACCCGGTCCGGTCACAGCTGTGGGGACATTCATGGGAGTTTCTTCTTCCCGGAGTGGGTGGAGGTCCAGAGTTCTGGCTTCGGGGAGAGGTGGGAGCAGGTAGGGGCACCTTGCTGATGTCCCAGTAATGCAGTGTGGCCCTGGTGTAAGGCAGCCAGCTCCTGCAGTGTAGCAGCTGAGTGCTTTGTCTGCCCTCTGGGTTGCTTGTGCTTAGGTCGGGCCCTGCTTCAAGCAGGCTCTCCCTGGCCTCCACCGTCAAGCCTTGCTGCTCTGAGAAGCCAGCTGGTCTGACAGCTCGGCTCCTCAGTAGCCACCACTGCCCTTGGCGCCCAGGCCGTGGCCCTGTGCGCCTGGAGGAGACAAAGGAGGCGTCACGGATTGCTGTGGTCGTCTGTCTGTCTGCTTCTCATCCAGAGCCACTTCATTGTTTACCTCGTGGACATCCTTTTTTTTCTTGGGCAAAAATATGAGTGTCAGTTTCCATCTTCAACTTAAAATCGAAATAGAGCAACAGTCTTAGCCAGGGCACCTAGGGAGAGGGCTCCAAACTTGCATAAAACTGACATTGATTTCTTTGCCTGGAAATAAAAAACAAGTGTCTGTGAGTCATCTTTGGATTTGCATTATAAACAAGAATGCAAATGAATGCCACCCTGTTGCATTGCCCAGATTTCAAGCTGTGTTTTGATTTGATGCATTTTAAGAAAAAACGTGCAGTTTACGCAGATCTGGAGATTTTCTAGTGAAGTATTCAGAGTTTGAGTTGTTGCTTGTTCTGATGACTCATCTTCTCTTTTGTTTCCTGTTTTTGTTCTTGACGTACCCTAACCTACCTGCTGACTCACGCCATCCAACCAACATACAATGCGAAAACCCATGTCTCCGTCTGTATGTTGCGTGCCGCTGCTCAAACCACCCCAATCTGTCAATAACCCGCAAATGTCCATCCATGAAAACATCACATACAGGAAAGGGTTGGTTTCGTGACTTTAAGTGGTTCTTGCTCACCTTGCTCTGCCTGCTCCGCTGTCCTCTGCACCCTGCGCTCTGTGTGGCTGGACTCACCTCTGGCCTCCTGTGCCCCACCCCAGCTCCTGGGGAGGCAGCAGCGGTGCTGCGGGCCCTCCCAGGAGCTGAGTGGTTCCGGGGGTTTCTGGAGTGGGCGGTGGGATGATGCCTTGGGGAGATTTCCTGTTGGGACTTGACTTGAGATGTCACAGGACGGTTTGTGCCTAAGAGCCCTTGCGTCCACGGCTTCTGTTGCAGTCTTCTCTCCTCTTCTGTGTCCCCATCGTGGTGACAAATAAGAAGGTTCAGCTTTCCCTGAGTGGCCCTGGCAAAGCCCCTGTAGCCTCTGCCCCTCCTGACAGACCCTTCCTGGGGGTCAGGAGCGATTTTTGTCGCCGTGATTCAGGAACTCTGCAGGGCCTGAGTGGAGGGAGGGACCCTTTCCCAGCTGACAGCACAGCTTGTGCTGTGCCTTTGGCCAGGAAGCTGGTGCAGGGGGCAGGTGCCAACCAAGACTCCTTCCAGGTCCTTAGGGATCTGGAGTGAGAGCAGAGACATTTGGTGGCAGCTGTGGAAATTCATCTAAAGCTGCAGGTATCTGAGATTCTTGTTACAAAAAGTGAATATTTATTAGCAAGGTTTCACGGCTGGAGCAGGAAATCTTGGGTTTTGAGGAGGCGATGCTCAGGCGGTGCCTCCTTTGTGGGCTCAGCCTTCCGTTAGTGGGAGCCTTTGCCCCCGCACGTCCCCTTCCCTTCTCCTCACAGTGATGTGTATGTGCATGAAGACCCCCCCCCCCCCGGGGCAGGAGGCGGGTCAGCAGGAGTCCCCCCTCGGGGGAGGGGGTCAGTGGGTGTCTCTACTGGGGGGAGTGTGTCAGTGGGTGTTCCCACTGTGGGGAGGTGGGTCAGCAGGAGTCCCCACTGAGGGGGAGGGGGTCAGCGGGGTGTCTCCACTGGGGGGAGGGAATCAGTGGGTGTTCCCACAGCGGGGTGCCTGCTGACCACAGCCAGACCTCATCCTCCAGTGGGAATCCTCAAGTCTGGATCAAATCCTCTGCAGGCGCTCAGCACCAAAGCCCTCCCTTTTCTGTGACTCCAGCCAGAGGCTGGGGTGAGCCTGGATGTAGGAGATGTCATCACCTCTGGGGGGCAGTGCCATGTGGTGCTTGGTGCACTTTCCGATGCCTTTCCTGGGTTACCCCCACCCCGTGGGCCTGGCTGCCCCTAGTGTGTCTGTTGGGTTAAGGACCAGCGTTCCTTCAGGGTACGTCAGCCAAGGGGTGCGTGGAGCCCCTTTGGGGTGCTCTAGACCATTCCTGTTCAGCTTAGGTGGACAAGGAAGGGCCTGGCCTGGAAAGGGAGCTACTGCTTCCTGTGCCACAGAACCGTGATCCTGGGGGGGGGGGGGCATGTCCACCTCCCAGGCAGCTGAGGCCAGAGGTGATGCCTGCTTTTCCTGCCATCCTGCATGTGGCTGGCACAGTGGTGCCCAGCCTGTCGCACTGTGCTTGGATGTTGGCTGTTGTTACCGTGTGAACCCCCAGCTCTCTTGGGCTGCCCGTCTGTCCCCACCCCACCCTCTCCTGAGGCCTGCTGGAGCCCCTCAGTCCCCATGGATGGATGTGGCTGAGCCCTGGTCCTGCAGGCTTGTTTGGGTGACCTGAGGCTCTGCACAGCACAACACCTGTCCCTTCCTGTGGCCCCTGTCCCGTCTCCCTTCCTCCTTACCTTCAGGAAGTTGTCTGTGTAGCTGCCGGAGCTAGGTGGGTGCTGTGTGGTCATCGTGCTACCCCCACAGACCCAGTGGAGCAGCCCAGGCACTTTGGAGCCCCCTTCCCTGATCTGCTGCACCGGCTCATGAGCATCCCCGGGATTCATTGAGCAGTCCCTGGCCAGCTTGTCCCACATGGAGAGTCTCTTCCCCGGACACAAGCAGGTTAAACAGCTCCAGGCTCCCTCCCAGAATGCCACATCCGGCCAGGACCGCAGGACCAGGACGGGCAGCCCTGGGGGCAGAGCCCCCTCTCCACCCAGGCTCCCAGTACCTCTGCACTTGCATGCGCACTCCTGCTGCTGCCGTCTCACTCAGCGTCTGTGTTCTCTTTTCTCTTTGATGACTGAGCCTGACTACACCTGTGAGCTTCTTGCATATCTAGAACACCCAAAGTGGCAGGAAGCCTCTCTGGCTGTGTGTGGGTTCCTGGTCCCTACATAGACGTAGACTGAGCAGAAGCTGCCTGGGTCCACAAATGCTTCCCAGGGCCACGCTCCCCTGCACAGGATGTACCGACAATGCAGGGTCCCCGGGGCCAGTAGAAGCCTCACTCCCAGGCAGCTGGGAGTCCGGGGTTTGTGGGTTCATCTTTGTGCTCAGTTCTGAGCCCCTTGGAGAAGGGAGCGGTTCTCCAGAGAGGCCTGTCTGACTGTGGATTGCGGAAGTGGCTTCCATGGTGAGAGTTCTTCCATTCGTGGTAACTTGTCTGCTGACAGCTGCAGCAGCCCTGGAGGAACTGGGGTCCTGGGCAGGCAGGGGCTCCATGGACTGAGCACAGAAGAAAAAGGCACAGTGCCCAGTGCGGGCATGGGAGGAACGGTCAGGCCAAGCACCTGGACCACTGGGCTGTGTCCTGTGAGAGGTGGCCCAGCTCTGCCGGGTGGCAGGGAGCTGCTTCGCAGAGCCTCCACCTCTGTGCCTCCTGAGCAGAGGGCAGGATCCCTGAGTGGGGGGGCATGAGGAGCAGTTGTTGGGCCAGGCCTCACCCTGGGAGGGTTTTCTGGTGGCTGACTGCTGCTTAGACTGTGAAGTGGTGACTTTTGTTCTCGCCTTTTAGCTCCTTTTCTTTAGTGCCTTGGGCTCGGGGAGCGGATGTGGGGAGGTGGCCATGTGCCTGCACCACTAGGGGTGCCTGTGGTAGTCAGAGACAACCCTGTTTCCCGCAGAACAACTTCATCAACCTCAGCTTCCTGCGCCTGTTCCGGGCCGCGCGGCTCATCAAGCTGCTGCGCCAGGGCTACACCATCCGCATCCTGCTTTGGACCTTCGTGCAGTCCTTCAAGGTGGGGCTGAGGCAGGGCCTGTCCCCAGCTCCAGCAGGGGAGGCTGGGAGGGGCGAGGGAGCTGGAGGGCGGCTGGGGGTGCTGCGCGGCTGACGGCTGTGTGTCTGCAGGCGCTGCCCTACGTGTGTCTCCTCATCGCCATGCTCTTCTTCATCTACGCCATCATTGGCATGCAGGTGGGTGCAAGGCGGTGTGGACTGAACCTTGCCTGAGGCCCCTGCGGGCCCCTGGTGCTGATGCCGGGTGGCCGCCATCAGCTCACACTCGGGGAACACTCACTGCACAGGGCCTTCAAGAACACAGATTTCAGAACACGCATTTCAGAACACACAACAAAATACTCAGCTCTTAACTGCACTCTCCACACACCTACTGTGGTGCCCCCACGAGAGCCAGGCACATGCTTCATTGTCCAGACGCTTTCATGGTGGAGGGCACTGAGGCATCACGGCTCCCGTGGGTGAGGGGCAGCCACAGCCCCCTCCGGGCAGAGGCACCGCAGTGTCGGTGATGGCCCAGCAGCGGCTGGATGTCGGGCACTTGTACAGATGGGCGCAGGGCAGGGGCCGCTCACTCCGGGAGCTGGTGGCCACCTGCAGCACGCCCCCCCGCCACCCCGAGCTTGGGAGACTCTGTACTCAGGAAGGGCCCTGAGAACTGGGACCCATGGCATCACTGAATTTGCCAGAGTTTTCTGGATTTTCCTTATTTTGCTAAAGAATACTTTGTCAACTATTTGAGAGAAAAATCACATAAAAGACATAAATCAGTATCCCGATTATAAACCCTCAGCCTTTGGCCACTTTGCAGCACTAGGGATGGGAGATGAACCCCCATAGCGAGTTAGGGTTGGGGGAGTGTCAGTACCTTGAAAGTTAGCTGAAAACTTTTTTGTGGGGGCTAGCGCTGTCATGCAGAGGATTAAAGCCCTGGCCTAAAGCGCCAGCATCCCATATGGGCACGGGTTCTAGTCCCGGCTGCTCCTCTTCTGATCCAGCTCTCTGCTGTGACCTGGGGAAGCAGTAGAAGATGGCCCAAGTCCTTGGGCCCCTGCACCCATGTGGGAAACCTGGAAGAAGCTCCTGGCTCCTGGCTTTGGATCAGCGCAGCTCTGGCCATTGTGGCCATCTGGGGAGTGAACCAGCGGATGGAAGACCTCTCTCTCTGTCTCTACCTTTCTATGTAACTCTTTTGAATGAATAAAATAAATTTTAAAAAAAAGAAAACTTTTTTTTAGTATTTTTTTTATTTGAAAGAGTTACAGAGAGAGATGGGCAGAGAGAAATTTTCCATCCACTGGCTCACTCCCCAAGTGGCCACAGTGGCTGGATCTGGGCCTATCTGAAGCCAGGAACTGGGAGCTTCATTGGGTTTCCTTCATGGGTGCAGGGGCCAAAGGACTTGGGTCATATTCTACTGCTTTCTCAGACCATTAGCAGGGAGCTGGATTGGAGGTAGAGCAGCCGGGACTTGAACTGGCACCCGAATGGGATGCCGGTGCTGCAGGTGGAGGCTTAGCCCAGCACACCAGTGCTGGCACCAACTGAAAACTTTTTTAAACTTGTTTCAGAAATTGAAAAGTTCTTTTTTTTTTTGAATTTGCTGAGATCTGATGCTATTCAAAACAAATTCGTATTGTTTGCTGTTTCGATCTGTGCATGTTTAGGAGCCTGGATACAGCTGTAGGTTTCCAGCCAGATTCCAGGTGTTAGGCTAAGTACAGTTGCATTTCTTACTCTGGAAAAACTCAGCTGAAATGGACAAAAAGCTCTTTGTGCTGTCTGTGCTGAAGTTTCTTCTGGTCTCAGACACAGTGGACTCCTCGGACCCTCAGCTTCGGGCCCCAGGTGGCATCTGTGGCCAGGCAGTGGGTGTGCTGAGCTGTGGGGCAGGGGTCTTGGGAATGCACCAGCCCTTGCAGGGTGGTGGCTCTCCAGCAGAGAGCCACCCCCGTCCCCCTGCCAGGGACCCAGCATTGAGTGTTGCCATTGCTTCCCCGTTTCAGGTTTTTGGGAACATCGCCCTGGACGATGACACCAGCATCAACAGGCACAATAACTTCCGGACGTTTCTGCAGGCCTTGATGTTGCTGTTCAGGTGTGTTGTCTGTCAGCCCCAGCCAGTGAGTGCCTGTCCTGGGGGCTTCCTTGCATGGGACAGAGAGGGGTGGTCCCAGCCACAGGGACCACTGGCTTCCAGTTCCCTCTCCCTGTTCATCCGCTCCAAAGGGCTCTTAGCCTGTGCTGGGCCTCAGGCAGCCCCTCGGGGGATCACCAGGGTGTTGTGCACTGCCTCATCCCCGCTCTGCAGGGAGGACAGCAGGTTCCCAGCAGGGCCTCTCCCTGTGCTGGCCCTGGGACCAACAGGGCAGCAGGATGACCTTCCACTGACAGTACTTGCAGCCACTGGGTGCCCCGAGGAACCCAGCTGGCCAGGGCTGGACACACCTTCACCTTCCACTGTCTGTCCTGAGGGTCACAGCTCCCTGGCTCCTGGACACGGCCATGCCAAGCAGTAGTGTGGGGCCTAGAGAGGCCAAGATGCCCTTGGCATGAGCTTCAGGGCTACCAAGACTCCTTGCTGAAGGCGTGCCAGCAAGAGAGCTCTGCATGCCTGCCAGTGGGGATGGAAGAGACAGGAGGGTTGGGAGGACTTCCCCACCTCCTCCATCTCCTTGTTCTAGCACCAGTAACCCCAGTACGGAAGAGTAGAGCTTTGGCCAGGGTTCCTGGAACAGGGGCATTGGCATCAGGCCCTGCCTTGGGGTCTCACCACTTGTCGGGCTGCTGCATGGCCAGCCCTGGGTGTGCAGCCTTCCCTGCCTACAGGTGTGCCCTGCAGCTCTGGACCGTTCTCCGGGCTCCCAGGGTGAGGCTGAGCTCAGGCCCAGGCCTGCTGTGCTGCGCTGCCTGCAGGCAGCTTCTGGCTGCTGTTTGTCTGCAGCCTGAACAAGCCCCCGAGGGCTGCACTCTCCCCAGTGGTGTTTCTGTGCCTTAGCTGTGATGCTAGTTCTGTTTCTTCACTTAACGTTCTACTCCACGCGATGTGAGGCAAACCAAGAAGTCAGCCTTAGCTCTAAGCTGTTCCTCCCCAGGCTTCACATCACATGGCAACACTCCTGGCTCAGGCCTGGCCCTGCGGAAGCAGCAGCCTACTCAGGCTCTCATGGGTGCGGACGGCCTGACTGCTGCCTGGTCTGGTCACACACACACAGGTGCCCAGAGACCAGAAACCAGGCTCTGATCCCCAGCAGGCCCCTGGTGCTCCAGGTCCATCTCAGTGGCTGCTCGGGGCCTCGTGTTCTTGAGTCGTTTGAGGGGCTGGAGGGGACTGAGCAAGGACCCAGGCGAAGTGAAGCCAGATGAAGAGTGGACAGAGTGGACAGAGTGGCCAGAGACCTCATAAGGCTGAGGGCAGCATGTGAGCCTGGGCCTCTGCTGTGAGGAGGGGCAGCTGCTGGAGGGCTTTGGAGAGCAGTGATGAGGTCAGACTGAGCTGAGGGGGGGCCCACAAAGTGGGAGATGAGCAGATGACGTGGAGGCCATGACAGCAGCTCAGGGGAGTCTTGCTCAGCCCAGGGTGGCAGGAAGTGAGGTGACTTTGAAGGTGCTGAGCTAAGGGCAGGGGTGGGGGGTGGGGCAAGGATGGCTCCGGTGTTTTGGCTTGAAGCAGGCAAGGCTGTGACAGCGTGTGTCTGGGGAGGCGGGGTTTCCGGGGCCGGTGCAGCAGACCCTCCTGAGTGACCAGCGCCTTATCAGCTCACGCCATGGGTTCTCCTGAAGAAACAGCCATCTGTTCTGTGGATTGGCACCCATACAGCCCTCAGGCAGGGACCAGAGAGAGAACCACGAGGCACAGCTCCCTCGGGGGTGAGGGTCAGGGTGAGGGCTCCGGACAGAGCTCAAGCCTGGACCTCCAGGCTCCCTGCTGGGCCTCACAGCTCTGCCCCTCTCCGCAGGAGCGCCACGGGGGAGGCCTGGCACGAGATAATGCTGTCGTGCCTCAGCAGCCGGGCCTGCGACGAGCACTCCAATGCCAGCGAGTGCGGCAGCGACTTTGCCTACTTTTACTTCGTCTCCTTCATCTTCCTCTGCTCCTTTCTGGTAAGTCCCAGTCACTGTGCCCCAGCCTGCCCATCTCAGTCCATCTTGGGGACCCTACATTCGTCTCTTGGGGCCTATGACTGAGACCTAGGACATGTCACAAGCTGACTCCATGTCGATGGCCTGGGTCCACCTCGTCAGCCCTGGAAAGGACCAGCTGCTCACTGATGAGCCGCCTGTCCCCGGCCTTGGCCTCTGGGGAGAGGGCCCTTAGCTTCCAGCTTCCAGAAGGGTGTGCACCGTGGCCAGTGGGTGTGACAGTGACGTGATTGTGCTTGTTGCTCACAGCTTGGCACTGGCCTCTGGGTGTGGTGAGGAAGATGGCCTCAGAGTGGACAGACAATGGCCCAGAGAAAGGGAGGGACAGGAACTGGGTGGGGCTGGGCTGCATTTCAAAGGTGGCACTGACGTGACTGTGTATGGGTATGAGAGAAAAAGAATAGAAAACAAGGACCTGCGGTTTTCTGGGGTGGTGGGTGGGTGACGGTCTCTGAGGTGGGAATGTAGGGGGCCTGTAGCTGAGGGACTAGAAAGGGAGGGAACAGGGATGCCTGTTAGATGTCTGGGCTGGGGATGTGAGTGGGTTTTGTTGGCATTGGGTGTATTTATGGGCTAGACAATGCCTGTGGGTCCCTACTACATAGAGCCTAGCCCAGAAACCTGTGCAGCAACTGTCACCACAGTGATGTTGGAAATGAAGAGCCGGGGCCCTCTGACTACACCGGGGCCCTCTGACTACACTGGGGCCCTCTCACTACACTGGGACCTATGACTACATTGGGACCTCTCACTAGACTGGGACCCTCTGACTACACTGGGCCCTCTCACTACACTGGGCCCTCTGACTACACTGGGACCTATGACTACACTGGGACCTCTGACTAGACTGGGACCTCTCACTACACTGGGCCCTCTCACTACACTGGGCCCTCTCACTACACTGGGACCTCTGACTACACTGGGACCCTCTGACTACACTGGGACCCTCTGACTACACTGGGACCTCTGACTACACTGGGACCCTCTGACTACACTGGGGTTCTCTGACTACACTGGGACCTCTGACTACACTGAGGCCCTCTGACTACACTGGGACCTCTGACTAGACTGGGACCTCTGACTACACTGGGCCCTCTCACTACACTGGGACCTCTGACTAGACTGGGACCCTCTGACTACACTGGGGTCCTCTGACTACACTGGGCCCTCTCACTACACTGGGACCTCTGACTACACTGGGACACTCTGACTACACTGGGACCTCTGACTAGACTGGGACCTCTGACTACACTGGGCCCTCTCACTACACTGGGACCTCTGACTAGACTGGGACCCTCTGACTACACTGGTGTCCTCTGACTACACTGGGACCTCTCACTACACTGGGACCTCTGACTACACTGGGACCCTCTGACTACACTGGGACCCTCTCACTACACTGGGGTCCTCTGACTACACTGGGACCTCTCACTACACTGGGACCTCTGACTACACTGGGACCTCTCACTACACTGGGCCCTCTCACTACACTGGGACCTCTGACTACACTGGGACCTCTGACTACACTGGGACCCTCTGACTACACTGGGACCCTCTCACTACACTGGGACCTCTGACTAGACTGGGACCCTCTGACTACACTGGGACCCTCTGACTACACTGGGGTTCTCTGACTACACTGGGACCTCTGACTACACCAGGGCCCTCTGACTACACTGGGTTCTCTAACTACACTGGGACCTCTGACTAGACTGGGACCTCTGACTACACTGGGCCCTCTCACTACACTGGGGTCCTCTGACTACACTGGGCCCTCTCACTACACTGGGACCTCTGACTAGACTGGGACCTCTGACTACACCGGGGCCCTCTGACTACACCGGGGCCTCTGACTACACTGGGACCTCTGACTACACTGGGACCTCTGACTACACTGGGTTCTCGATTACACTGG